ATATATGCGTATGTGTGTGTATTATATATAGATATAGAATATTACATATAATATATATATTCTCTTTTTTACTCTTTTCCCTGTCACGTGACTTTAGTTACATGGTGTTTTTCCATTTTTGTCTCTCACTATTTTTTAATTTTGATTTTCATGCGTTATTTCTGACATCTCTCTAATGTGTATTATATGGTTTGTAAAACATATACTAACTGTCATCGCGGTGACAGGTTATATTCACTGACATTACACGTTAAAATAAAAACAACAATAGCGTGCGCGTAGCGCGCGCCTGTGTTGTGCTAGTGTAATTAAAAAGGGTAATATACAAACAGTAATGTCTCTGTTATACGCAAGAAAAAAAAATGAACAAATCGAAAAAACGGAAAAGATCACATCTCTGGTGTTTTTGCGCTGCACGAGAGATGATTATCATAATCGAGATGTAACGCCGACCCCCGCGCGGTCGATGAAGTCATCAATTCGAAAGACCTACCAAAGTATTCGAAGTGTTGTATTCCCTCGCGTCTAACGAGGAGGCTCGTTCCATGGCTTGCGTGCCATGAGAAAATTCAACCGTGGCCTCGGTCCGCGAGCGGCTCGTCAGAGTCATCCTACACTACTCGGGGAGAAAGAAGGAGATAAAAAAAAAAAAAAAAAAAAGAAAAAAAAAAGAAAACAAAAAGAAAAAACGTACGAGAGCCACACGTATGGCTCATACGGGAATCGCGCAAGGTCGAAATATCCTGCGCGCATCCTGCCTTTTTCCGCGCGGTTCGCGGTAGAACCGCAGGAATCCCGTGAAGAAATCAGAAACAACGAGAGACGTTCCGAGAGGGAAGAACGTGAGAAAGAAGGACGGCGAGAAAAAGAGAGAGAAACAGAGAAAGGGAAAGAAAGAGAAAGAGAGAGAGAGAGAAAGAGACGACGGAAAAAGGACCCGCTCATCAGAAGCAATAATACGAGGGTACCTGAGTAATAGCGAGAGTACATTGTACGTTCCTAGCAGCTTGTAATCGGAATGGAAATGCGGATCCTGTGGACGGGAGGATACTACTCTCTACTTCAGATGGGGACCGGAATCTCCGAGGAAGAGAAACGCGCGCGTCCAACTCGCCTTGGCTCGCCGTAGTCTTGGCGCGTCGACCGGTAATTAATATTATTTCACGACGACGTCCGCTCCTTTTAACCCTCCTCTTCATCATGCCTTATAATGTTGGCTACACACGCCTCGATATGTTTGAGTTATGGCGGTGGACGCGTCGTCGTACGGATCGAATAATAAAATATAGAAAAGTACAGGACGAGCTTTGCAGCGCGCGCGCGCGCGCGAACGGCGTTTGATGGCAAGATTTATGGCGTTTCGTTAATTATTTTACGATCGCATCGTTTTCTGCGAACCAGTATATCAAAACGCGTTATATGTAATGTATTCGCGATTTCAGGCTTTTAAACGTCACGTTTGAGAAGTTGTCACGAAAATTACATGAGAAACGCATATATGTGTGTTACATATTTCTCTTTTCGCGTGTGTTTCTTTTATACAACTCGTGGAAATAAGCTGGAATGCGAGAAAACTGGAATCTCGCGGGAATTCTCTGTTGATCTGTAGTGATGAGTTGTGATGTCGCACAACATGTGACTCTCGAGTTTATTAATAATTACGCTCAAGCAATGCGGCGTCACCGGTATTACTTCATAATGACAGGTTCAATGTCTTCTTTGCTTTTAATATGCGCAACGTAGACGACGTGTTTGATGTCAATACGAAATAATACTTTCATCACGTAATGGTGTGCAAAATATATGTACACAAATAAAAATGCAAAGAACAAATGTGCTAGTATAAGTGGTATTTATGAAATTCGATCAAACTATAATGGGCAAAATATGCGACGGAATTGGCGAAAACTACATATATATACGTTTGACAAAACTACGCTCCTTCCTGCCGCGATTTCTTCATATTTCCCGATAATTATCCTCTGGATAAAGATATGCTTTATCTTTTAGATAAAGTTATCGAAAACTTATCTAGGAGTGAGAAAATTGGGCATTAGTCATTATGCTTAGGTACACTTTTACTCAGGTATATTTCTTTTCACACCGAAAGAATGTACGGCTACTTAAGTGCCGTGGCACCCGTGTCCGAGCATCTATACCTCCTGAAGTTTGCACGCTCTTTACCAAGTTAGCCTTTCGTGACTCGCATAATGTAGCGATTTTTTACTTGTCATGTTAACGTCGCGTTCATATCTGAATGAGCGTTATTGTGAGGCGCGCGCTCGTAAGACTAGACTCCGGAATGTGACCCCGCTACTCCATTTATATTTCTGTTTTGATATGTGTTTTGTTTTTAAGCGGAATGTCTCTCTCTCTCTGCTAAATACTGCTGTCACATTTTCCGAATTTACAATTTTTTAATTAGTATTAGTAAATTTATAATTTATTTTTTTTAATACCAAAACATGATGGAATTATACGGGCTCAAAGCTAAAGGAAATAAATACTCTAAAAATCGGAACATCTGGCTTAGTGTTTGAGAATTACAGAATAAAGTTTTGTAAAAAAAACCAGCATTCGGCTCTTTTCGGTTTTTTTCATTTAGTTTCATTTTTTTTTTTTTTTTTTTTTTACTTTTTAAGATACATTTCACGTATAACTGATAAAAAAAAACTGTTTGTACGTGAAATACACACGGAATTATGCGATGCTCGATTTTCCGCGGGATTGCGATGATTTTTCTCGACTTTTTACACGCGCTATTGAGAATTAACAGGATCTCCGCGTCGTCGCGTTAAACGTCTCGTGAAACGAGAAGCGATAGCGAAGGGCGTGTTGCATTTACGTCTCGGATAGGTCTTCTCTTTCTCCTCTTTCACCTTCCCGTTCCTCGAACACGCCAACGCCGCGCGCGCAATCGCGCTCGTTTATAATCAAAATGGAAATGCAGACCGGCGGGATAGACGAGAAGAAGGCGAGGCTCGGAAATCAATAAAATCACACAGCGGCAAAAAGCACCACGGCGGCGTATCACATTCGCAAAATGAGACGACGATTTCTTCCCCGGATTGGATTGTAATCCATTTGTGTTTTTCCCCATTTATTTCCGCGGCGACGACGTTGTAACGAGTTCAACGAGGTATATTACAGCGGGCGGGAGGAGGAAGAGAACATAACGAGGTACGACGATGCCGCGCGACGCTTTAGCTTTGTGCAGGCTTATAATCAGAATGCAAATACGGAGCCCGGGGACGCGCCAACTTCCGCCTGGCAGCTAAAACCGTTAAAGGCGCGCCTAATTGGCGTGATCTCTCAATTATGTCAGGCCCTTTGAAGACCGCCGGCTTCTGTTCTCTATTCTAATCTATTTTCCATGTTTTCTGCCACACCGCAATATATACGTTTTGTTACAACGCGCGTGGGTTTGAAAACGCGACGTCTTAATTACGGCAAAGGTTTTGCGCCGGTCTCCTTTTAAATGATCGCTGCGTGACGAATCGTCGTTTTTAGCGTCAATTAAATTTTCAATTTATCGTTAAAAAAAATTATATTGCGCGCATACTAAAAATAAACGATAAAAATAAATTTGAAGCAATCTGGATCCTCTCTCGCTCTAAATCTCGCCGTTGCCGCGCCATTTTTGTCTCTTAACTTTGCTGCCTTCTTCGTCATACGAGATTGCGTGACTACCAAGGGAGCGTTCCACTCCTATATACGTCGTGATTAGCATCCCACTTGTAACTTGTACGTGATATCTCTCTTGCGCGCGTACAGAGTTCTCCACCACTTCAATTTGCCAGGTCCTCCATTTGTCCCAATTACCGATGAAATCCCTAATCGTCGTATCGCGATGTGTGCGTCGTCGCGGCGAAAAAATCACCGGAAACCGCGAATTATACCGTCGGTATGTACGCGAACTCGGAATTGCTTTTCGCCGTGCGTTTGTTTGCACTTGACTTCGCCCGCGGGAATCAATTAATCGCGTTTCCGTTTTGCCTTTCGCGGCTTTTTACGCCACAGAGATGTGTAATTTCAGTGTTTTCGTCTCGTTTCACTGCGTGCGCGCGCACGTTTTAAAACCTAATTAAGAGTCACCCCTCGATTGCTTCTCGCACATATATGTATATACACGCGCGCGATTTTACGCATGCGTACATCGCAAATACGCGTGCGAAGCCGAACGAGAGAGGTATAAATCTCACGTAAAACGAGCATTAACCGCGAGATCGTACTCTCCGCTCGTGAGTTAGTAATTATAATATGCGCAAATGTGAGAGGTGGTATGTGCCTCACGATATATACCGGTCTATATACTCACTTGTTGACTTTGGGCAACCCGGTGGCTCTTCTGTTCCTGCAACAGAAAGAAAAAAGCATCACGCGTTACGCGATTATATCACATATGAGACGCGACCATATCGATTAATCGATTATCTCCGCGCGTACGCACTTTTCTTATTTTTGGCGCGGATTTATTGCCGTTAATTCGCGGAACGCAAACGCGATAAAAAAACAAATACACACACCCGACGCATAAAGCGCGCGACGGAAATTACGATAATAACGCGCGGCTGATGTATTTAAATATATATATATATATGCGCTTATGGCCAAGAGTAATTTCATGCTTGTAACGAGTTTATCCGCTCTTGCGATTAACGGCATTCTTGAAAAATTAGAGATAAACATTGTGCAACGATCATTTTTCATCGTCGCCGGTGTGTCACGTTTCGCTTGCGACATCTGCCGAGTAATGCGCGGGTATAAAAGTTTAGCAACAGTGCGCAATCCCGATAATAACCGTAAATTCTATCTCCCCAAACCTGATACTTAATTGTTTATTCGCGTTTCCACATAATAAATAACCATGAATAAATGTTACGTGCCTGAGTAACGCACGTAACTCTCTACCGAGAATTGAACTCTTGAAAGTAATCGTCCGCAAGAAAGAAAATTATCGGCGAGGCCGATGCGACTCACGCAATCCCATTCGCACGCCGATTGCATTTCGCATTCGTCGCGTGGCGACGGCGCGTTGCACTTTTTTTCCCGCGGAAAACACGTCTCGCGCGGCGGACAAGCCTGGCGGGCGGGCGGGCGGGCGGGAGGAAAATCGTCGCGCCGGCAGATGCGCGCGTTGCATCGCGAAAACAGAAGCCGTGGGAATAGCACAGTGTCGTGCGCGGTGCGACCTTCGCATCCTCGGACTCCCCTGAATCCTGCACGGCTAATTTGAATAATTTCCTAGTTTACAGGACGAGCACGACCGGATCTGGTGTCATATCTAGCACGTAAACGCACTGCCGTGCCATCAGTCTGGCCGTTGCATCGGCCGGCGCGGCGCGACATGCACGCGAGTTCTTCTTTTCTGCATCGCGCGTTTCGTCGCATTAACTCGCACGCGCGGCGTTAAAATTCATCGCGCATAGCGCGATGATGGAAAACATTGTTTTCGTCACACTTTGCCTCGCTTTTTCTCTCTCTTTCTCTCTCGCTCTCTCTCTCTCTCTTTCTGTCCCTCCTCTTCTCGCTGTGTCTTCTTTCTCCTCCTTTTCTTCGCGCGAAGAACTTAAAGATTTATGAGCGTAATGACATCGTACATCAGTCGGAAGCAAGGCCTCTGAGCGAAACTTGATTAACCCATTACCTAGCGTTATATGGAGCAGCTACTTTATAATCGCGCGAGAGATGAAGAGAGTCGATAAGTCGATGAGAATATCATGAGAATATCATGACAGTCGGTCTCGCCGTTATATACGTTAAACTCTTGGAAACGCGTTGCCCCCGGCGGTGTAATATCCTCCTCCCGAGTAGACCTACGCGCGAGTTCAATGCATACAAAGTGATTCAGTGGATAGACAATAGACGTGCGCTGTATTTGACTTTCAATGCGATTCGGCGTACGTTTTTTCCGCGACCAGTATATAAATCGAAAACAAAAAAACAACATTTGTTTTAATTTGAAATGCAATTTTAACTCATGAAAATTTCAATCTGGCAGCTTAGCCGCGTTTCTATGAAAAACAAATCCGATGGTAAAAATGTATTTGTGAAAAAAATTATTCCAAGTAAGTGATTCTGTATCTGAAAAAAAACAAAAAAAACAAAATCTATTGCTCGGTGGTCAAATTCCAAAATCTCGACTTGGAGATTAGTTTCTCTCATGAATTCTATTCAGGTTTTTCTCTTTTTCTGTCTCTCTCACTCTCTTTCTCTCTCCGGAGGATATACGCCTGTCTAAAACAATGTATCTCCGCGAGCGAAATAATTCTGGCGATCGTGCGCAGCTGCGAAATAATTCATTCGGCGTTTCCGCAACGGGCTGTTTGTGGCACGGCCTGTGTGTTGTTGCGGCAGCGACGGCGGCGGCGGCGGCAACGTGCATTGCAGCTGATATCCGTCTCTCTCGTGGGTTCGTACGGTGTGCGAACCCTGACCGTACGTGGCAGATAACGTATGGGCTTTCGTGGATTTTCCTGTTTCTGCCGGCGAAGATAAGGAAGGAAACAGGAAACGAAGGGCGCCGAGGACGTTGCACGTGAGGTACATGCCCGATGAAAGCGAGCCGTTTTATCGCGGCGAGAAGGGAAATGAGTCGTTAAACCGGCGATCATTTTTCAGGTCTCGTCGTGCAACATTCGTCGTTCGTCGATACTCGCAGCGTTTAGTCACGATCGGACGATCTTACCGCTGAAAGATACGAAAAACGCGAGAAATTTCAAGAATCAATTTTATTTTGCTCAAGTCAAGTAATTACTGTCGCGCGCGTTAATTACATATCTCCGTACATATCTCAAAACTTTACGGAGCGTTTTAGTTTTCTTTATCGAAACTGCGAGTACATCCAGGCGAGAGATAAGATAACTTATCCCCATCGCATTTCCGTCCGAGCAAGTATTTTACCCGGCGGCGAACTCATCGCCGCGCCTCGCTCGGCGCGGGAACAATGTTTTCGCGATGCGTATTCCGGTGCGTGTACGCACGCAGAGAGGGACGAGAGCGCACGGCGCGTATAAGCCACATCCGTACGCGGGCGGCGAGTAGATCGGGAATATAGCCGCGGGTGAAAGAGAGAGAAAGACAGAAGAGCCCGAGACCGGCGACGCGCTCGGTAAGCTACGACGAAGGTTAAGTTATCTCACGGCGCGGATCTAAACGTTTTACCGTGTACGTAACTACTACCACACAATTCTGTCTTCCTCTCTCTCTCTCTCTCTCTCTCTCTCTTTTTTCCTCTTTCTCGCATCTTGGAGTACATTGTCATTTTATGGACAGATAGGCCGCGCGCGCGAGCAACGACGAGCAGATGCACAATTTACGCTTCTAATTGCAACGCTATCAATTTCGCTCGTCGAGTGAGACATTAAGTCGCGATTCGCTAACGAGGAAGCTGTCGCGCGCCTTCTCTCGCGGCTCGAGATTTCTCCGCAGATTGCTTCCCGAGAAAAGCGAAGGGCTGTAATTTCGAAATGCAAAACTTCAAACGATTCGTCTTCGTCAACGCATTTTCTATTATCTTTTTTTATTTTTTTTTTATTTTTTTTATTTTCTGTTCTCTACTTTTGTACGGCGTAAAGAACACGTTGAAAGATACAACAAGCAAGAGTCTTAAATTAGTTGGTTACACTGGTTGTTACAACCTACGCTTTAATTGCCGGTGTTAATTTCGAGACAAGCGTCGTTCAGGCACTCTCCGACGGCCGATATAGTCTCTTCTCTCTCTTTCTCGCTTTTTTTTTCTTCTCTTTACAATGCTTATATTGTGCCCTCAAGGCTAAATCTACGAATAGGCCGAGGAATTGCGGTTTAGGTTTGCGAAAAGTCCCGTTACGAGTGACCATGTGAATTCGCACGTCAAGGTCTCAAACGTTCAGTCACCACCGGAGCCCCGGTAGTTTTTTCGAGTCTCAATTGTCGTTGGTCCGATTCGTGTTAGCATAACATTATACACGTATGTATGACGCAACCCGGCAACGCGAGCCGAGGGCGAGGAGGAGAGTTGGGACGCGGGGCGGACCCGGTCGTAAAGCGTAGACAAACGTATGTACATACGTACGTTGCGGGATTTAATTACATCGTTGCGAGGAAGAGTGATCGCTGGAACTAGCAGTGTCACGCCTTTTAATCCGCGGACACCTCGGTTATTACTTCTCGCGGCTTTTTAAACTTGTCAACGGCCGCCGGCGGGCGTAAATAACGCGGCTTTCTCCGTTCCGCCGCATTTAGCGGCTACCTCTTCAACACAAACCCGAACGCTCATTACCCGCATTATTTATTAACAGTATGCGCGATCTTAACTCACGCACGCTTTGCTCGAGATCATTCCGTGACGACGCTTCTTTCTTTTCCCCCTGTTACGCTCGACCATTCGACTCCATCGCGGAACTTTCCTCTCCTCGGAAGTGAAAATATAAAAAAAAGCGAAAGTTCCTATTTTATTTCATAAAAATAGTCTATGTGGAAAACTCTACCGGAAATTTCTAGAAAGAAGAATTTGCCGTGCTAATGTTATCTTCTATTCAACCCTTCGCGGACTGACATGGGTCTCCCAGACTCACTCAAAAAGAACGCATCGGCGTCTTTAATAAAAAATTAGTTTTTTTTTTAACGCTTATATCTTCGAAACTACTGGAGACTTTTTCAATTTGGTTTTTTTATTGAGACAGAATCGTTCGAACTTTCGATTCAAAAGAACAAAATTGAAAACTATTGATTTTTTCTAGAGATGTTTAATTTTAAAGTCGCGTGGGTCTCACAGACCAACACTAGAGGGCATTTCCTAGAGAGTCGGTCTCCACAAAGGGTTAATCTTACATATCTGTATCATGTGTATATCGTATTTAACAGATTGTATATCAAAAAAATCAATAAATAACTTGACGATTTCTTCGATATGCAACAAACGGCACGAAAGTTTCATTTGTAGGTCAATTATTGCGCAAAAGTATGAAGTAGATAATAAGGTATGTATTATCTGCGAGTCAATTATAGACGTTTCGCAATCGAACGACTGACGTGCGTTACACGTGCTGTCCATTAGAATTTATCATTGATATATGTAACGGGAATAAAATTCGAATAATTGGACAAACGTGAAACGTATTATTATAGGTTACACGCGCGGTACACGTGCGCGCGCGATACCGCGTCGCTCGTGTTTTCATAATTAAATCAGGAAAGTGTTGAGCAATCGTGACCTTTTTTTTTTTTGCGAGAATTACACGTCGAGGTATCACAGAAGAGTGAAAACCGTCCGTTTAATGAAGTTTAGCCGCGGCGAAAGTGCCGTTAAAGAGCTTGTGCTTTTTCTTGCGGTTGCAGAAATTCGCTCTAAAGAGCAGATCATTAATTTTG